TGCCCTAGCCCCCCTTGCCATGAAAAAGGGCAAATGGGTGGAGTTGCTCTTAGGGCTGAGAGAGAGAGAGAGACGAATGAGAGTGAGCGAGTTAGGTTAGGTTACTTTGTGAGGGTAATGATCCAGTGCAAGCAGACTCCGCATAAACTCTTCTTTAAGCCGATTAGGCAATGACACATGGAAAATGCTAGGGGTGGCATTTTAAATAGAAAAATCGCAAAAATCAACCGACAATTTACCGCAATGGAACTGCAATTGCGCGAAACTGAACCGTATTTGCGATATGAAGAACCGAACAGCATGTGCGGTTGCGGTTGCGGTATTTGATTTTCAAAACTTGCGGTTACCGCAAGCCGCGACTATATTAAAAATAAATAAATTGCATTTTGTAGATAACATTGGTGCTCAAACAACATAACGGAGTCCTTCAAATCCACTCACCATCACCAACACTTGAGTTTGTAACTTTATTTGTAACATTGGTGCATTGCATTTTTCTTTTAGTTTGTAACTTTAATTAACTTTAAATTGGATTTTTCCTTTGGGTTGTAACTTTAATTCATTTTGTATTGCATTTTCCTTATGGTTTGTAACTTTAATGGTGCGTTTGGATGAGGAAAATAAACTTGGGATTTTGACAAAACTCAAAATTTCTAAATTGACATGAACCAATTCCGGTGTTTGGATAAAAAAACATAGAAATTTAGAAATTCCGCGTGGAAAAAAATATGGAATTTGGAGATCATAAATCCCAAGTTTAAATTCTATGTAAAAGTCGTCATTTCTAAAGTCCCAAGAGAGATTGAGCTTTAAAAAAGATAACTTTACAATTAAAGGTTAAATTATGTGTTTTAAATCAGTCACCCAAACAAGAAACTTCACAAATTCTAGAACATTAATTTCCGTCATTTTAAATTCCATCATTTATGAAATCCTTTGTACTTTTAAATTTTCTCATCCAAACGCACTGTAAAGGATTTGGAATTGGAATGCTTGAGAAGTTGAGGTTGTTAATACTTGAGAAGTTTAACTTTAATTGGAATGCTTGGAATTGTAACTTCAATTTTCTTTAGGTTGTGAATGCTTAAGAAGTTGAGGAGGTTGTGAATTTATATATGCTTGAGAAGTAGAGGTTGTGAATTTATATTTTTGGGTTAAAGTATGTTTGAACTCAAAAGGCTTCAAAAGAAGCATCAAAATTGGGCCTAAAATGTGGAAGATTGGATTTTTATGACACAAAAAGAACTTGCAGTTTTAAACCGCTAATTCAGGTAACCGACCGCTTTTTGCGGTTTCAAAAATCACCATATCGCAAATAGTCGGTCGGTTTGCGGTTTGGGTAAGAATTCGCAATTTCTGAACCGCAACCACCGTTAGAAAATGCATATATAATTAAATATTATGCGGTTTGGTTCAGGTCCACCGGTTTAAAATTTTTTAGACCCGAAGTTGAACCAAAGTCAATGGTTCGGGTCAAGTCCAATGTTGACTTTTCAGTTTGGTCAAAAAAACCTCCTTTTTTGGTTTGGTTTAGTTTGGTTCGGTTGGTTCTTTGTCCTAGTCCAATCGTACACCAAACGCAGTACAAGGCTTATCCGCTTTATGCTAGGCCAAGCGAATCCAAGATAATCCCAGTATTTAGTCAAATTTATGACAATTCAACATACTAAACGACCCCCAGAGGTTATCTATGGTTCATTTTAGGGTGGTGGGGGATATAGTTGTTTTAGGGTGGTTGGAGATTCTGTAATTGGAGATTTTTTACTGGGAGGGTATTGGCTAGCTCTAAATTTAGATTCAGCGATTTGAATGTGAAGAGAAAATAGAAAATTCTAGAGATCAAGAGCTTATGTAGCTGCAAATTACGTTCTGTTCACTGAAGCTATGCCACCAAAACTTCTTTTCAAGTTTAAATATTGATTAATGAACTTCTTTACTGGATTAACAAGCTTCTTACCAACTTCTTACCCATTTCACAAAAAAAAAAAAAAAAAAAAAAAGAAAAAAAAAAAAAAAAAAGAAAAAAAAAAAAAAAAAAGAAAAGAAAAGAAAAGAAGAAGAAGGTCAATTCCGATTTGGTATCATGTGGTTTCACTCGTAAGGCATGTTTGTTTCTGTCCTCTCAATTTTTGCAATTAGATACCCCGGTCTTTCCAATTGTTGCAATGTGATGCCGTCGTTGGGGTTTCCGTCAAATCTCCCTGAAATTGACAACTCATCACTTAACAGAATTTTTAACGGTTAAGCTAACGACGAAGTCACATTGCAACAAATTTTCAATGTTGGGGTAGTTTATTGTTAAAATTGAGAGGACATGGGCAAATGTGTCTTATGAGTGAAACCACAGAGCACCAAACTGAAATTGACCAAAAAATAAAATAAAATAAAATAGAAACACAATGAATTTAAGTAAGGCTTTTCTGTTTTAAAAGTCATAGATGTGGGAATTAGAGTCATAGAATCATAAAATTCCTTGAGCAGAGTTTAGCACATTAAGCAAGCTAAATTTTCTGTTTGCAGAAGACATCAACTATATTGCTTGCAAGGCTTTTTTTAAAATAAATTTAAAAAAGAAAAAAAGAACTGTGATATAGAATAGATCAATCAACCTCTCGATTTCTGTAAAGATTAGATACATAATCAGACTTCTAGCCATTTGATATGTTTTGTGAAAGGACACTCATTGCTAAAGAATGGTATGATTATGTATCTATTTGGAAAGATTGTGAGTTCGAATTATAACATTTGTATAGTGTGTGAGAGTTTAGGCATTTCCTAAGATCAACAGCCAGAAAAGCAAAAAATGGAATGAAAGTTCACATTTTTTTTATTTCATCTCTTTGGCAAATTCTGTAGTACACAGGCTGCCTTAAGTGGGCTTCCAGTTGGTCATTACCAAAGCCCATATAAGCTCCTGGGTTGGTCCATATAGCATCCAACCACAGTCCCAAAATTTTGTTGCAGAAGCCAATCTTGATTTATCTCTATCGGATTAGTGGTTGGTTGAAAATTGAAATGAGTTCGTTGGCATCTTCACTTGGCACTTGCAATCCCAGAAAGTTGAGAACACAAAACATTTTGCTCCAGAGGGATGTCACAACATCAGAAACATCAAGAGTCAAAATCTTAAGCCATCCACAGAGAAGAAGCTCATCTTCTTCTTCTGAACAAGTACTGCAGCTAAATGAGAACCCAAATTTGCTTAAGAGAAGAGAAGCAATTGGCTTTGGCTTCTGTCTTGGCCTTCTTGATGTCCTCTTGGCACCTCAACCCACTCAAGCAGCTGAAGGGGCCACCTGCGAGCTAACCGTATCTCCCTCTGGCCTCGCTTTCTGTGACAAAGTTGTGGGATATGGCCCTGAGGCTGTTCAAGGACAGCTGATTAGGGTATTAAAGAATTCTATATATATATACCATGGGTTCTGTTGCATAAAATTAAACATGGGTTTTGTTGGTTTTTTTGTTGTATTTGCTTAAAACAAACAAAATTGTTAAGAAGTCTAATAGTTGTTGAGTTGAATTAATTTTAGGACCTAGTGGGCAAATCAGGGTCTTATGTATCTGGGTTCTGTTCTGATCAATTTTGTAATGCAAATGCAGGCACACTATGTTGGGAAATTGGAGAATGGGAAGGTGTTTGATAGCAGCTACAATCGTGGGAAGCCCCTTACCTTTCGTGTTGGTGTTGGTGAGGTATGCATATCACTATTTGAATATGTTCATAATTTGCAGCAACTCATGTGTTTGCCTGGACCAAAATTTTCCTTATTTGTGCTCTGGACTTCCCTAAATTGGGTGGTGTCTCCTGCCTTCAAAATATTGACATTGTTGCTCAAGAACCTTACTTGAGGTCTTTAGGGGATTTGTTTGTGATCATTGTTTGAAACTCTTGTCCACTAAACATAAAAACTGCTGCCTGTAAAAAGGCAATGCCCTTCTTGAATGAAATCGCCCAACTTTTTCAGTGTTAAGATTTTACTCCGAATAAAACTATTTGTACCACATTTAGTAATCTCATTGCTAATCACCTCACTGCACGTAGCACACATAAGCAAGACTCCTTTAGCCCTCTCTATCTAAATTGAAGTATTGTTAATTTGCATTCTTCGAAATCTCACAGGTTATCAAAGGGTGGGATCAAGGTATTCTAGGTGGTGATGGAATTCCTCCAATGCTTGCTGGTATAGTAAAAATCCATGAACGCCATGTTTACCCTATTAATCCCACTACCCTTGTCAAATCCATGACAACAAGAAGTTGATTAGTCTTTATAACTTGATTAGGGGGAAAACGCACCTTGAAGCTTCCTCCAGAACTCGCATACGGCGTAAGAGGAGCTGGATGTAGAGGAGGTAAGCTAAGCAGTCACATTTTGTTCCCTCTCTTTGTAGAACCAGATGAAGTGCAAGATAGTCTTATTTGGTTACTAACTTACTACTGTATATGCCATGGTGCAGGCTCATGCATTATTCCTCCAGATTCAGTTCTTCTGTTTGATGTGGAATTCATTGGCAAGGCATGAGAAGTGGCCCAAGAGCCAGCCAGCAGCAGTGTCTCTTGTGAATTGTTTGCCTAGTGGTAAAATGGAGGGATGATAATGTGTATGTTTGGCTGCCTTTGGATATGTCAGCATATTGTTATGAGAAGAAGAAACATCTCTGCCTATGAGCATATTACTCTTTTAGCAATGGAGCTGTCTTTCTTATGAGTCATTGATCAAAGTTCAAACCAAACTATTTCCAACTTTAACCTTTGAGTGTACTAATCAAGTAATTAAAAGAAAATTAATGAGGGCCTCAAGCTTAATTTCTTAATTTTACTGAGTTGAACAGAAATTAATTTTACAAATTAAGATTGGTGGATAAAATTTATAAGAGAAAATTTATTTGTCAATACATTTGGGGCTAAATTGGGAAATTCAAATCCGCCCTAAATCATAATAATCCAAGTAACCGAACAGAGCCGAACCGGCCGAGCCGGACCGGCTGTATGACTCTCCAAACTCCGAAGCTATAAATACCTAAACTAAATCGTTTTTCGGGTCTCTTTTGCTTCGCAAAACCCTAAACCCAAAATCAAGAGGTAAGAGGCGGTGACAATGGCGAAGTCGATGAGATGTAAGAGAGAGAAGAGACTGAGAGCCATTCGGAGAGAGATGGTAGAGCCTTACTACGACAAGAAAGACGAAGCTAAGCTCGCTGCCCAGGAAGCTGCCCTCGCTGCCCCTAAGCTGCCTGTACGGCCGCCTCCTAAATCCGGTTCTGCTATGGAGGTCACTACAACTGACAGCACTACGGCCTCAACAAGCAACATGGGTATGCTCCAATTTCTCTTTTGTGCTATATTCACGTTCCCATGTGCTATTTTTTTACTTAATTTGTTGGAAATTATGTATTTAGTCCCTATTTGTTGCTAATTTTGTTTGAATTTGTATACACCCACTTGGTTTTTGTGATGCCCTTTGATGATTGAAAACGGTCCTTTTTGCTAGCTCTTAACATATTCAAAGAAGGACAGATATACATGTTTTGTGATGGATTATTCTCTTTACGAAGTATATTATTGGAGTTATTGTGAAAAATGATATTTTGGTCGTAAAAATAACTAGAGTAGGTTTGTATTTCAGAAAGATACTATTCAAGAAGTGAGTTGTGTACCCGGGATTCTCATTGTTTACTGGCGTAGACACTATCTAGAAGATTTTAGTATGGATTTGATTTCAGCTTAAAGCATGATCCGTATGCTTGGTTTATACAGGTAGTCTGAATTTAGAGTTGATTATGTAAAATGGCCAAGTACACAAACAAACAAGTGAACAAACAAATAGAATTAGATGGGCTGGAGGCCTTGTTTCAGTAATTTATCTCCCAACGACGTAGATTTTGAGTTTCTGTATCCCTTGGTGTTGGATATCTGATGTTTTCATAAAATGTCTTCCCTATTGTTAAGCAAGATATAAGAGTAGTCATTTGGCGGGAATCAGTGGCACCGTAGGTTTGTTGGATAATAAATAATATATTATGTTGAATATACATTTGGTGCTTTTCATTAATGTTGAGGTTGTATGCTAGCATTCTTATGCATAATTGCAATTACATGATGCCTGCCTTTTGGATGATCATATATTACAGGCGAGAATGTGATTTACGAAATTTTTAGTTTTCTTAATGACCTGTTGCATTTTCTTGCCAATCAGCATCAATTAATTTATCTGTTGGCCATGTTCAAGTTTACTGATCTGGATGATGTCTTTTTTCCTTTAATAGATGTGGATATGGTCGGTGGCAGTCAAAGAATGAACTTTTTGAAGCCTGGTGGTGGGATAGGCAAGAAATCCAAGAGGGTATTTAAGGTGGGTAAAAGAAGGCGTCAAGGCAAGGGGGGCAAGGTTAAGAAGCGTCATATATAACTCTATGAGCATATGAATGCCCAATTGTAGCCACAATGGGATATGAGTATCTTTAAGGCTGTCTTTGTATTCTGGTTTTATTTTCTAGATACTTGAGAGTTATCCTCCCTAAATTGTAACCGAGAGCCCATGTCATATGTTAACTTTGAGTTTAAGCAGGATTTATGGGGTTTTCTGTTGAAACTGCAATTTCCATTTTGTTCTGATGCTAATTTTGCAGAAGAGTATGCTCTTTTTCCCTGTTAGTTTTCGTTCTTGGTTTTTGGTTTTTCGGCTATACGGTCACAATCAACTACAGATTGCTTTGAATTGAAGTGAGTGATATGCATTCTACACCAATCAGGAGGAGACTTGCGTTTTCTCTGTGTTGAGATATTTCTTCTGTTGAGTTGGTTTGCAGCCGTTTCTTAGGCATGTTTGTTAATTTTATATTGATCCAATGTGGGGCATATGTTTTCACTATTTTAGTTGCATGGAATTTGTCGATTTGATTTGAAAAATATATAATAATAATAATAATCCACATGGGGTTAGCCCTCCAAATATGCCTTTTAAATGTAATGACGGTTATATCAATGTAAGCGATGAACAAATTAGTCCACCACTTGGAATTGGATTATAAATTGTCACGCTTGTAGCCAATTAACTGAAACATGCGGCGTGGATTCATACGTAACCAGCCAGTTGTGATTAGAAGGAAAAACAAAAGGATCAATGAGCTCACAAATGAAGTTGACCCATGATTCTTCCGTCCAATGAGATGCGGTAGGTGAGCAGCTTAAATTCCTGCAGTGGCGAGGCATATTATAATTGCTTGCCCCTTCAAACACTCCAAAAAACTTGTCTTGCAAAGTCAGCAATTTTATCTTTGACTATCTAGAGACGACTTGAGGAGATATAGAAATTTTATGGTCAAGTCCTCCGCTTACTCTTTTTGTTTTGGTTTTTTAATTTATTCTCCTAATACAATTGACCTATTCTGTCCTTTCCAACACGCCATTATGTCTAATTGGTTGTATAGCCTAGGAGTTGGGTGGACATCTCATACAAATTATCCGCGTACCGATAATTTGGTTTAATTTGTTTAAATAATTATTTTTTATTTTTCATTATTCTGCTCTGATCCGTATAAAAAACGTTGGGTTAAAATGATGTAGAAAAGTGAGTATTGGAAATCAACCTAATTAATCATAATTAGATATCATTTTTGCTTGAATTCGGAGAAACCCTTGTTTCTTTACTATAAAGATGTAGAAAAGCGAGTATTGGAAATCGGGTTTCGATTAGTCTATGTGATGTGAAATCACTTTCAAATTTGTGATTAAGAAAGAAAACCATGATAGAAAGAAGCAAGAGTAAATATGTGTATTATGACAACAATTTATTTAAAAAATTGACATATCAAAACTTCATTTTTTAAGGACTTAATCTCCATCTGTCAATCCTTAATCAGTCGCTTAAGGCATGAAACATGACCTAGATAGGCTGATCATAAAAATTTAAAGTAAATTTGGAATCAGATCAAAACATCATGCAAAGCAAAGCATGAATGCAGCTGTACCTAAACATTTTAAAAATGAATCTGCTTGCATCATTCTGCTTTTTTATATCAACATGGTAAAAGTCTAACATTGGTTATCTCACAAATAAAAGTAGTTTAATAATTAATGGGAAGTCTATTAGATATTGCTTAGCTTGGTGTACTTTCATTGTTGAATCTTCAAGTCACCAAAGCATGTAGGAGAAAGTTCAATCAGAAAGTTTCAGATTGAAAAGGACAAACTTTATAGTTAAAAAAGCTATAATCACTTTTAATTAAAGTGTTTGTATTTCTCAGAATATAGCTACACAAAATGAAACTTTATAATTAAGTGCTTTTATTAAAATAACACAGATTTTGGCAGTCAAAATTGGTCCGTAGCAGAAAAGTCATAGTCCCTATGAATTCTACCAACACTAATTAATTCTGTCATCAAATAAATTTTAAGAAGCAAAACTCTGTTTCCTTCAAAATGAAGAAATACATAAATAACAACTTAAGCATTAAAAAAAACACATGTTTGTCCAATCAATGAATTTAAGAAAAAGAAAAAGACTTAAAATTCATTAAAAACTCGTATGACTTCTTCTTCTCTCTCTCTCTCTCTCTCTCTCTCTCTCTCTCTCCTCTCCCACGAGATTCCTAGTAGAAGTGGTTCCTGTGACTCCGTCTACCACCCTTCTTCTCTCTCACCTGTCCCGTTTCCTTTACGTTACAGCTCGAAAGAGAAAGCCAAACCCCTCTTATACGACAAACAAACCTCTCTCTCTCTCTCTCTCTCTCTCTCTCTCTCTCTCTCTC